TGAGTGCTCTGAGTTATTATCCGTGTTATTCTATTAATAACTTTAGTCACAGTTCTTCACAAGTTGTACATCTAATGTATCACGTGAAACATTGTCTTTTTAAAACATTGGTTATATTTTGTTTTTTAGTTTCAGAAGGGTACAGATACAAAGCATACGCAGACAAGTTCAGTTTGATGTGAACATTTAAAGTACTAGTTTTTATGATGTCTTTCATGATCTGCTTCCCTTTTCTTGCATGAACTATCAATTAAATGTATTTTGGCATACATGTAACTATGTGTTATTAAGATCTGTGAATTTAAAATAGCAGAATTTCAAGACAGCACATTTCATTTGTGCGTTGATGATTTTGGTCAAACTGACATAGCTGAAATAACATATCATATGGTGTATAACTATTGCATGTTTTGGCTTGTTTAAATCTATGACTTAAGTGTTTTGACAGGATGACTCCGCATTTAATAAATTCTTTCTTCATAGAGCTGAAATATTCTAAACCATCATGCTTGTACTTCACTTCTAAATAGTGCAGTCATCTAATATTTTTCTTTACTTTTGTGACCAGATGGAATTATCATATACATCATAATATAACTTAATCCCATTTTCTATACCTAATTCGCTGATAATAAAGGCAGTGGCTTCATTTAGTATATAGTTCCAACATTGTGACCAGTTTTCTTCCCATTTTGGCACAATTTAGAAATCACATTGTAAATATAATGTGTGCCAGAGATAGATATTCTTAGAGTATATTTTAAGTGTTTTAAAAGTTTAATGTGAGATGATAAATATAGGGAGTGACCAATAGGTTGAGCAAAATCTCATTCTTAGTATAATTTAAAATCATGTCAAGATTGATATACATTGCTTGCATAATCCTATGCATGTTTAGAAAGAAAGAGGTCCCACAACTTCCTAGGACATACTGGGAGCCACAGGGCTCCTTACTATCCATATATGTATAGGATTGTGCCCTTAACCTGTTTTGCTGTTTGTGTTTTGCTCCAATAGATTCTGATTATAATATTAGCTATGCCATGATTTGAACATTTAAAACAAAGTATTAAACATACTTGTCATTTGTATTAAACAATCTTCTTGTCTTCTTTCAATCAACAAAATATATTTTTCTATTGTAATCACTGCAATCTTAAGCACACTTTCAAGGGAGTAAGCCAAATTGAAAATAAAAGATGGATTTGTGAGTAAACATAATTAGGATTGCACTGTCAGATTTATTCACAACTTTAATCAAAGTAATATAATTTGGATCTAAAACTGCACCCCATTATTATGTCTGTTTTATGTTGAATTCAGTGGGACAGGGGCCAGTATAACTGAGTGCAGAATTGGATCCTTTGGAATTGTATTTATTGCACATATCTATATTATAATCTCTGCTTTGAGCGCCAAAGAATTGAGGCCTTTGAATTGTGCTGCTGGCGGAGACTCCTGCGAGTCCCTTGGACTGCAAGGCGATCAAACCAGTCACTCTTAGAGGAGATCAACCCGGACTGCTCTTTAGAAGGCCAGATACTGAAGATGAAACTCAATACTTTGGCCATCTAATGAGAAGGAAGGACTCACTGGAGAAGAGCCTAATGCTGGGAACAACTGATGGCGAAAGAAGAAGGGGACGGCAGAGAATGAGGTGGCTAGATGGAGTCACTGAAGCAGTCAGTGTGAGCTTAAGTGGACTCCAGGGGATGGTGGAGGACAGGAAGGCCCGGAGGAATGCTTTCCAAGGGGTTGCAATGGGTCGGATGCGACTTCGCAACTAACAACAACATATTATAATCTGCTTTTCACAACCTGATGCCCTTCAGATGAGTTGGACTACAACAATGTCCCATGATAATTGTCTATGCTAACTCAGGGTGAAGATTATTGTGGTCTAATACAATAATAGAATCCAGTGCCAGGTTGGAGAAGATGGCTATAAATCTTGTTGTTTAATCTTTGAACATAAAAATTAATTAGCTTTTGTACTTGATTGGACAGTACCATAGTTGAAAATGTAGCAGCAATTTTAAATGGTTTGCTAAGATCAGTTTATGCCCTGTTATAAAACTATTACTTACAAGTAAGGCTACAATTCTATGCATCCTTACTTAGTTATAAGGCACATTGAACTCAATAGGGCTTATGCATGGGATTGCTCAAATACAGTGAGTGGCTAGGATTGCATTTGATTATGTGTTCAGGGAATTTGTGTTCAGGATTCTTGTGTTGTATAGCAAGCTGTTTTTGAAGGTGGAATGGGGCTTAGCTGTTCAGAGGGTAGAAACAACCACAAATTCAAAAAATCATTTTATAGATGCTTGGCAGTGGTTCTTACAGTGGTATGAAAATTCTTTTAGCGAAAACTGTTCATTGAAGGGAATGCAAATAGGTTATTAATATTCTATTTACCATATTGGAAAATAGGCTTTATGCTTTTCTTGTGCATGAAGGGGTAACCTGCATTTTTTCTGGATTTATTATCCCAGAAGAATAATTCTGGAAATACCCCGAGCTTCAGTGTAATGTCTGCCTTTTTATCTCATTTAACTGTTATGCTTTTTGGAGAGTAATCAAGAGAGCAGGAGAATCAATAAAATATTATGACTTCAATCAAACCTGTGAACACCTTCATTTCACATAACTGATTTTCTTCTGCAGAGTGTGGTTTGTTTATATGTTTATACGAAAGTATTTAGAAATGCATTTGGGATCCACAAATGCATTTCATTCCTGTATGTACATGTTCGTTGCTTGACAACTACAACATCAAGTGACAACTTGAGTGTGGGACTGAACCATCACAGGAGACATACCTCAGAAAGAACTTCATTATTGTCTCCTATCAACTTGGTACTTCTCAACAGAGTCATTTTCACATTCAGGACAATAGTCATTAATGTCTTTGAATACTAGACCTCTTCAGGTGTCCCAGATGAATCTGTGAAAAGGGCAGCAAAGCCATACATGAAGACCCCACCCACAACATCCCTGTCCCCATGGGATGGACTTTCAGACATTCAAGTATTCAGAGAGGATTTCTGAAAGGACTTTCTTGTCTGTTCCCTCACACTCTATCTACCATGGTAAATAATCAAAGGATTCTGCTATTAAAAGTCTTTTATAGAGTGATGTGAAGATCTGCTCATTGGGTTTGGCTACTGTCATGTCACAAATCAGCAATTAAAATGCCACTATTTCTGATGTGTATTATTTGGATTCCCCTTCCCTGGTTTCCTTGATGTTTCATTCTAACTCTGTGGTTGTTTAATTTTGTATGGTCTTTCTTTTTCTGGCTTAACTTTCTTGCTGATGTTTCCATGTAAAAATAAAATAGTGACTCACCTATTTTTTTTTTTTTAAATGGGGGGGACAGGAAGAGAAAGAGATAATTTGTGCCTTCTTTGTACATCATAAGAGAAAAAATTGTGGAGTGTCTATTGGGCATAATCTTCTTAATGGTTTGTAATCAAGGATTATCAACCATTGCTTGAAATAATGGATAAATAAATTTGTAGAAGCCGAACATCTTGGCTAAGGGCCAAAGCCTAATGGCAGAATAAGATTCTTTTAGAGGTACTGGATATAGCTTCAAATATTTGCCTTGAAACAGAATGTTTCCATGGAGTACACTTAAATATCTTTAGGGGACAATCCAGACAATTTTAGGCCAAATGTTTAAAATATGCTGATTTTTAGTAGTAGAGTTATGCACATGAGTAACTACTTTTATACAACTCATTGGTGAATGTAGCACAATCCTTCACATGTCTACTTATAAGCAAGTCTCCTGTTTTCAGCAGGCCTTACTCTGTAGCAAGTGTGCTTATGATTGCAGCCTTATGTGCTTCACTTTGTTGGGTTGCACTTAGAAGGTATCTTATTTTAAACAGGGTTTGTATATTTTTGGCAGGTTCAAATTTTTAACTGTTTATAATTTCAGATGTGTATCTAATTTTCTGTGTAGCAGGGTCATGAGGCAGAAATCTGTAATATATTGTTCTTAGAGGTAACTGTCTTGGAAAAGTAGTAGCAGTACATCTGTTGCATTAAGCTTCCAAATTAAGTGTTTAAAGGCAGTATGTTAGTCAAAAGTAACATAGTCAAGGGTAGAAGCTATTTTTATTACACTGGATTAAGCAAAAGTTCTGCCAACCTCCTCAGTTTTATCTCTTCAAGGGTTCATTTTTGCTTGTTTGGCACAAGGCCCAGCAACGACCTTCAGAATTGTGGTTAGAAACATGAATGAATGAATACAAACTTTGGATGAGCTCTTCAGTAAGTCAAGCTGGCTAGCTGCCAAAAATGCATTCCTTATAAGGAGGTCAGGGCAGAGCTGTGATTTGCTGAGCCCTTTATTGTATGGAAAACATACTAGTAATGGCTGTTTTGCTTTCTATAAAACAAAATACAAACAAAAGTTTGGCTTCTTATGTATCAAAATAGGAGATAATCAAATAGTGTGCAGGTTTTACTGTTGACAGAATGCACCAAATAAAATACGACTCCATGGTTAAACTATAAAGGTGGAAGTTGGACCTTTTGACCCTCATTGCCTTTTTGTGATGTAAGGAACTCCAAGCATTTGTGAGACATCTGTTGCCTACCTGTCCTTATTTTGTAAATGGTTTAATCAGATCAAATAATTAGTACAACCACATGGTTGTCATACAGCTAAATCCTGGTATTGCCAATGAGATTTGGAAATTGAAGCAATTCTTTGTGCACCCAACATACTGTGTGTTACTTTGAAATTATAATTTATGACATTTCTGGTAAAACTTAATGTTGGAAGTCATGTATGAATGCATGCTGCAAATGAGGTACAGTTCAGAAAGTTTTGCAGATCTACTTTAGTTCTAAGTTTGATCTTAAGCATGTTCTTCATTAACGTTCTTGGATTGCCTATGCTGAGTTATTCTAAAAACATTTAATACTGTTAAAATAGGTTTTCCTGTGCATATTTTAATTAAAAAGACTCTATTTTTGTACAGGCAAGCACCCTACCTGGAGCTTCCCTTGGCCTGCCTCCGTCCCATGTTTATGGTATTAGGCTGAACCCCACCTCAGCAATGGCAGCACATACAGCTCCGCCCGAAAACAGTCAGCCAGGCAAGTTAGAGTGCTTCAAATTATCTATTTTGGTTGCTTAAAATTTTAAACTTTATTACTGTTTCATTTCAGTGTAGTTGTGTGTTCAGCAGCTTGCTGCATTGTGAAAGGGAACACTGTTTTGCACAACTGCCTTCTACAGTATCTTTCTACTGTCTGAAATGTAAATGTTTAAGCAGAGCCATGAGCAGGCAGGAAGGTAACAATGTCTCCTGTGACTTTTGTGATTGATGCGTTCAGTCCCCTTAGTTCTCTGCAATAAGAGTAGCACAGCACTGGGTTTTGTTGTGAATAGTTTCAAGATTTATTTGCATAATTTATGAAATTGCATAATATGCAAGTTTGTCCAGCTGAGATTATGTTTCACAAGTTCCACAACATCTAGTAATTGTGTGAATATTTGCCAGTTGATGTTTTTATAGCATTGGCTCTTCTTTGAAAAAACAACACACATTTTAATGAGCTCCTGGATTTGCTTTGTTTCATTCCATCCTTAAGGATTTGTTGACATGTCGTAATAGTCATGCCTGTCTGGGGGAAGGGAATGAGTTTAGCAGTTTACCAAGAATGGATCAGTCATGTCTTGCCCTCTAAGAGGCCAGAGGTCATTTGCTGCAGAATAAGGGGAGGGCAACCTTGAAGGGGGCAGATAGGGTTATTTTATTGAGAGGCCATAGGGAAAAATAACCCTTTTGAGTCCTACCAAGCAAAGTGCCTCTGTGTATTTGGGACATTTTAAATACCTCTTAGAGCCCCCTTTTCATTGATATTTTTAAATCTATGCTTTGACATTTGTTAGTAAAACTTTTTTGGGAAAAAGTTAGGAACAGAAGTAAATACAGTGCAGTATGTGGGTTTTCCTGGGATGTAAAGTGTTAAAAAAAATACAAAGCCTGGGGATTTGCTGTGATAAGCATACAGATTAGCTGTCCACAGCTGTGATTCATTACTTTCGCTGCAGAAATTAAAAGTGGCTGAGGGGAGGGTACTGGAAATGCAAACCATGCTTCTGTGCTGTAAAACTGAAAGCAATGAAAAGAGAGAGGCTAATCCATGGCCTGCTACGCCCAGAGAAATGTGTACGGACAACGCCTTAGCCATTGCACTTGGCAATTTTAAAAGAGCAGCCTTCTCTAACATTCAGCAAAACTCCTAGATACTGGATTACATTTTTAAAATTATCTCCATATCTGCTGCATCTTAAAATCTAATCTCAGAAAGAGTCACTCTTGGCCGTGAAATATTTACTCCGCAGATCAAGATCTAGGAGACAATAGCCGGAGCCTTGTTGGCAGAGGAGGATCACCCAGAGGAAGTCTTTCACCACGGTAAGCAATTTTTACTCTTGAGAGGCAAAAAGATATTCTTAAGGTGTGGAAACTTTATCAGTCATGCTTACATTTAAGCTAAAAAGAATTATGCAGAAAAATGAGTCTTGAAGGGTTAAGAAAAGATGTTCAGATATGAAGGTAATTTAATAGGATTACATAATAAAACAATGAATACCTTCACCTCAGGTGAAAATGGCTTAGCTAGTCTATGCTTTTTTGCATAGTCTTGACTCAGCTGTATGGCTAGTTTTTATTATATGTAAGATCTCATTCGTTAGAAGTTCTCAAATCTCTTCCATACTCTTAAAGAATGTTGACTATAAACACGTATTGAGCAAAGAAAAAGAAGGTGACATTAATGAAAAAATACTTTTCTAAAACTGTGAAATGGGCATTCTTGAAAAGATGGTGATCAGAATTGATCACCAATACTTCAGTCCATTTTCTGCTGGTATCTTTGTCTTAAAGGAATAATATTTGTTGATTAATATCATGTAAAGATGGTATGTACTACTTGAGTACTGGCTTCAGTGAAAGATTTTTTTATAATTATAGGATGGCATTCTGAAGCTTTTCATTTTATGGTACAATAGCACTACATGCTGTTACTGCAATCTATGCAGTTATTTAATAAGTTAGTAATAAATAAAAAACATTGTTAGTGGAGGCATGTCAATGTCCCATATCTAATCAGAAGTGCTGTGTCATGTACAAGAGTAAATGAACTGTAAAGTGAATGTTAGTGATCTGCTGCCTGATTTTCAAGAGCCTGCAAAGCTCAGAGACTGGCTGAAAAATAAATTCACCTCTGTAAAGCAGGCCAATGTTGTCTTAAGGACAAATCCTCAAAAGCCTTATGAAACAGACTGTGACTGACTTCAAATTGAGCCTTCTAGATATATAGATCTATTTTCTCACATAGTTTTATCTCTACTGAAACAGTTTGTAAGGTTCCATTCTGTATCAGTTTATTTAAAATTAAACAAAACTCAGGATGTAGTGTATTTGCTCATCCTTCATGTGGTAGAACTCTCAGCCTTTTGAACAAAGCTTAGGTCAGATAAATATCCAAGTATCAGATAACTTCCAAGTATTTTTGATCTTTTTGATAGAGAAATGAAGGAATATTGAAACATAGCCCAGACAACATTTATTCTCTTTGCTCAAATCCTTTAGATTTCACTTGGATTTAAGAGTACCTTTTATTTTTATTATGGACCAAAAGCCTGTTACTGTATTTTAAAAAGCATTAGGAATGCATCAGTCTGTTGTAAGATTACACATAAACATACATGTTAAGATTAGGCACGCAAACCTAAAAAAAAGCTTGGGAGATGGTACATTCTTATAGTTAGGGAATCCATCTAAACATCTTGCATGTTAATTTTATATCATAAGTATTACATAACATTCTCCATTTTTGTTTGATTATTTCATAATGTACTAAGTATAAACATATATGACAAAAATTACATCTTTGTGCAAAGGTATGTATGGAACAGTACAAAAGGGCCTCTCTATATCTTCCAATTTATACTGAACTATTCTACTATAAAAGTGGCAGATTAGATCCAGGCAGTGACCTATGGTGAACCTAGCACCCTGTCTCCAGCAGTGGTTAAGGCTGAATGCATCAGAGGAATTAGTCAAGAAATAGGCAGGTATGGGGTGATCCACTCTGTCCTTTCTTCCCATCCTGACATTCAAAGCATTTACTAAGCATTTACACCTGTATAAACTCTCTAGAGCTTATGTGGGGCTCCCACAAAGAATGCAGGTAATGCTTTAGTAATACTTGGGAGACTCTGCACTCTTTGAGAATATGTGGAATATGTGGATAAATAATAATATGTGGATATTAGTTCACATTAGCTAATAACTATTCACTGATGCCTCAACTTAATTTTTTAAATAGTGTATTCAGCCCAATGTATTATATTTTCTTATTTTTCAATAAAGATAGAAGTTGTAGGCTCACAGTGCTTTGTATAGGGGAACGATTAATTTATGTCAGTATGAATTCTTGTATTGGAGATGATTAACAGTTTCATATTCTCTTTCTTTTATTTATGATAGACTTCCATAGAAACTTATATGGAAGATGTTCAGTATTACGATAATTCTGCTAACTGTTATAGAAATATTTTCTTATTATACAACACCTTGAAAGTACATAATGTGGGAATTCTTAAAGGAAAAACTTGCAATTCTGTAGATTTTTCTCTCTGAAAATTCTTCCAAGCATTCTGTTTTGTTGCGATTACTACAGTTCATTGAACTGAAGTTTATGGTTAATTATCTTTAAGATCTGTTTCCTGAGTGGTAACCACTGAAAGAATCTAAAATTGTATATTCACAATTAAGGGTTTTTCCTCAGCAGTTATGAAAACTGGATTTCTGAATGCCATTTAATATCCCAGTAAGTTGCTTTTGTTCTCTAGGAAAAGCATTTAACTCTTTAAAGTCTTTGCCATTTATCTTTAATATGTAACAAAATGCTTATCTCTTTGAATATTACTGACTAAAGTGGAATCCAGAATATTTAAGAAAATTATTTTGAAGTTAATCTTCTACCTCTTGGTTTTTTACCTAGTAATTTCTGACCTTGTATCCTGCTATGCATCTATACTCTAATTGAATTTGCTTTAGTTAATACTCTTATACAACATATGTATTTTATTTTTAAGCAAAATATGGCCCAGTTTGTCACTGGTGATCTTTTCAGTATAAATATTGATAATTGAATGTTTCATTGCCCTTCCTCTTTCCTTTCCAAAGTAAAACACTTTATATCATGCAAAAAGCTAGAAACCAAGATATTTCAGTTTTAATTTCTGTCACTTTTGCGGGTACCCTTAGTGTTTCTCCCAAGTCTGTTATAGTACAAACTTGCTCAATATGTGTCTGTTCCGAAGTAAGGACCTTTGAGTTACAGGTGAATGGGTATGGGAGTACATCATTAATGTCTTGGTGACTAGACTGAAGACACAGTCTTATACCTACTTAACTAGAAGGAAGTTCTGGTAAACTCAGTGGGATTAACTTGGAATAGATGTGCATTAGGATTGTCATAGAACTAAATTTGACTTGAAAATTAAAGTTGCTTAGCTGTCACAGCAAGAGAACATAAAGAGAACATAATTGCCTATATTACAGAATTGCTCAATATTGAGTTCCTGTGTGGGGGAAAAACAAATATAGATATATTGCTACTTGTTTAGTAATGTTCATCATGAGCTGTAGGAAGATCTGAATCCAAACCCTGTTTAGATCAGTAAAAAACCTGATACTGGTTTCAATTAAAGTGGGATTTAAACCCATGTTAGTAGTGTGTAGATTTTTTGAATGTCCTTTCTACTGTGAATAAGGCTGCAGATGAATATGTTGTGCTGCAGAATTTGTGTTTTAGTTCTTATCAGAAGGAAGTCACAATATTCCTGTAATGAAGTAGGCAGGAGGTATTTGAATTCACCAGCATTTTCAGTACTCTGTACACATATTAAGGAGGGAGCTGTGAAAATCCACTTAATTTTTAAAAAGATGAGTTTAAACTTGCCTGAGTATAAATGCAGTGATGTAATTTATAGAATATTGCTGTAATGATGTGTCTCAGCACTGAACAAAAATGTTTGGCACTCAAATGTTTCAATTAGGGCTCAGTTGAAAACAGTAATTGTAAGATATTCTCTCTCTCTCTCTCTCTCTCTCTCTCTCTCTCTCTCTCTCTCTCTCTCTCTCTGTGTGTGTGTGTGTGTGTGTGTGTGTGTGTGTGTTTTAAAAAAATAGGAAATACATTTTTAAATAGTTAAGGTATTTGTCACATCAGGATTTCTTGTGTTGTGACTTAAATTAGCTGTATTATCTACATGTGTCTTTAATGACTTTTTGCATATCATATTGCAAAACCAGTTCAAAAAGAGTTTTTCTTTAAGTGTATTCCATGATCCTGTACTGGGTCATGTAGAAATTTTGCCTTTAGAGAGCTGTGGAGTATGTTTTGTCTATTTAGTTAGTATTTTTTTTTTGGTCAGATTTTGTGGATATTTGATTGGTTATTTTCTTCTTAATCTCTTATAAGAGTATTCATGGAAATCTGTGGCAAAGTTAGATTGAACTATAAGGAAGTTTAATAACATTAGTCATTTGTCACATTCCTTATTTTGCCTGGCAAAAGTGTTAAGTTGCTTATATCAAAGCATTTTTTCAGAGCTCTTAAATAAAACAGTAAAACATTTTATAGATTACCAATGTTGCTGATGCCTGTGCAATGTGAAATCAGAAGATCTGAATAAATGAAGCTTTTTTTGTGTGTGTACAGAAACCATTGTAGAAAACTGACGGGTCTTCTATACATGTTTTTCCCTCTGCCTTCACATTCTTTTAAATGTAATTTCCAATCTTTCTGCAGGTCTCCTGTAAGTAGTTTACAGATCCGTTATGATCAGTCAGGGAATACCAGCGTGGAACATTTGCCTCCAGTACCAGCTACTATTGAACAACTTCTGGAGAGGCAGTGGAGTGAAGGGCAGCAGTTCTTGCTAGAACAGGGCACCCCTAGTGACAGTAAGTACTTCATACTGTTGTGCCTGATCTTTCCAATGGTGAACACAGGTTAGGCATGTATGGTAATATCCCTATTTATTATATAATCAATTATCTGTTGGGGATATTTTATGATGTGTATAATTTTTTTGCATTTGAAAAGTAGTGATCATTTCTGAAGCAATTAAGGTCTTAAATCTGGTTCTCTCTGGTTTACTTTTGCTATAGAAAAGCGTTGTTTTGAATGTAGGGAAAGGACTTTAATTTTGCTCCAGAATCTTCTGTGGGTTGAAGATCTGTGAGGAGCTTCAATAGTGAATCAAAATTTTATTTTGAACAGACAGAATGGAAGTATGAATTTTCCTGACATTATTATTTTGTCTTTAATATATTATACTCTAGTCACATGCATATAAATATTTGAATTGTTTAAAACCATCATTTTTTCATTTAGTGAAATTCCTTGAGCATCCTCTCCTGGTTGTTAGTGAGTGAAGTACCATCTAGGTTTTTTTGTTTTTTTGTATGAATAGTACCCTGACAAAAATGCTAATTGTGAGGAAATTCATGCAGGGATAATCCTTTAAACATGATAGCTGGAGGACAGGTTTAGCTAAGTCTTATTGCATCTCATTTGGGCACACTGAGAGTTCCTTTGTATGTTGTTGAAGAGGAGGATAAAAAGCTAAATCCTTGGGAAATGACCAGATGTGCCTGTACCAGTATACTTGTGTCTGTCTTAGGCCCAGAGGTCATGTTAAACAAATACAATTTAGAATTTTAAAAGTGGCTTTTCTTTTGCTATAATGGGCAAACTGTCTTGCATGTTGGCTCATGCAAGTTCCAAAATTCATCCAAAATCCAACTTTAAGAGTAGCAGTGGATAGTATTTGGCTGAGGATGGGCTTTATCCACAGGAAGAAGGCAAGGACCGCAGGGCTCCTGATGTGCTCCCTGCTGGGTGCTCTTTAGAGGGGCATTGAAAACAGCTGGAGTCTGTTGATTTAAAAGCAATAAAAACAAAGTAAAAGTTTTCATTGATTACATAAATTTGCAGGGTTTTCTAGTAAGGAGTCAACAGAATAGCTTTCCCCTTCCAACAATTAAAAAAGCACTCACACGCAAAATTGTTTTGAAAGAGTAAAAGCATATTAAACTTTACAACCCAAGTAAAACATCCTTTTCTTAAATAATTATTAAATAATGGGTGCTCGTGAAGGAATCTTTCTATACCCCCATACCTTTTTTATCACCGTTTCAAAGGTATATGTAACTGAAACCACATGCACTACAATTTGTTCACAGGCTTTAGTAGGACACATGATTTGATGTGTGATGGGTACTTTTTGTGCATTAAACCACATCTATGTTTGAGGATTTGGGCTCTCAGTATATGTGTGAAAGACTGAGAAATTTATGGCTTTGGGGACCTCTAAAATTTTTGGTATTTCCATAGGAGTATTGTGCTACTTATAGGACATACAGTAATTTTCAAGAACTTTCAAGGTGTAAAGAGATGGATAAACAGATGTGGAATGTGCATCAATTAGTGCCTGTAGTTCTCATCATGTCTAGGGATCATTTAGAATATAGATCATTTTTCATCTCAGCTTCATATCTGATAAGGACATCATGGAAAAAGTAGGGAAGTACTCTCCTGTAACTTGTTTGTGACTAATTAGAATTGGGTAGGTATGCAAAACCTGACATCTGCAGTTATTTCTTAACAAAATAACATGTTCAAATGGTCTTTTTAAGGATTTAGATTAATTGGTCAAATTTTTTGTTTAGTTTTAGGCATGCTGAAATCATTACATCAGCTTCAAGTTGAAAACCGGCTCTTAGAAGAGCAGATTAAGAACCTGACTGCTAAAAAAGAGCGCCTGCAGCTACTAAATGCCCAGCTTTCGGTTCCTTTCCCAACAATATCATCCAATCCAAGTCCTTCTCATCAGATACATGCATTTTCAACACAGGCTGGTAAGGAAAGAATTAGCTTTCACTGTTAGATTGACCTCTGTCAAACTTTTGAGACTTTTAGCCTCTTACCAATATCATCATTACGTTCCATCTGTAATATAATAGAGGATAGTTTTCTTACTGCTTTCATGTACAATATGACCTGTAAAATCAATAATTTCTGAGAATATTTTAAAGGAAATGCCATATGCATATCCATTGTGAAACTTTTGAGAAAGATAGGAAGATAAGAATGGTTTATATTATTGATATTATCAATATTGATATTTATATTATTGATATTATCAATATTGATAATTATATTATCTTGTTTTACAAAATTACAGATAAAATACTGTGAGAGGTTTCCAGAAATGTTTTGAGCATATAATTGAAACATTATTTACTTTCATGAAACAGCAATGTAGTTTATGAGTACTTTTGTCACATGTGAATTGATATGTGCCTTTTGGATGGCGAAATTAATGCACTTTTTACCTTATTTCTTTTTAAATCATCACTTTAGGTGCTAGCACTGATTCTTTGAACAGCAGCAAAAGTCCACATCTAGGAAGCAGTTTTCTACCTGACAACTCTCTTTCTGTATTAAATCAGGTACTGTTTGCTGCCTTTTTCTGCTGGGCTAATTCTGTTAGCTTTCTGTTTGGCAAATATTGCATCTCAATTATATGTTGCTTTGTGTGAAGTTTGATATAGCTGATCTTTTGTATTTTCATTAGGAGATAAACTCCAGTGGACAAAGCACCAGTAGTTCCTCTGCTCTTTCGACTCCCCCACCTGCTGGGCAAAGTCCAGCTCAGCAAGGCACAGGAGTTGCAGGAGTTCAACAGGTCAATGGTGTGACAGTGGGGGCACTTGCCAGTGGAATGCAAACTGTAACATCCACCATTCCTGCAGTGGGTGGAATAATTGGAGCTCTGCCAGGTAACCAGCTGGCAATCAATGGAATCGTTGGAACTTTAAATGGGGTAATTCAGACTCCAGCCACAATATCGCAGAACCCTTCTCCTCTTACTCACACAACAGTGCCACTGAATGCAGCGCATCCTCTGCCAACTACACTGAGTAATAGGTAAGCTTTTACTCTTGTATTGTATTGCTGGATCATTCTTACAGTATTTTGTAAGGCTGTGATTATCCAGGATGGCTATCTGTAGCTTAATGATGCTGAGGAAAGAACTATGATGTGTGCGCCAGAATTTAAAAAATAGCAAATTATGTCTGTGTGAATGTTGGTGAAAACTAAGCAGTTGTTTGTTGTACCACTTTGACTCACAGATAGGGACCAATTCATATGTTGGTGTGTGGGCTTGTTATTGTATTACACATTTGAGAGGGGTGTGTGTTGTGGTCATATCACTGAATATGTGCTTTCTCATAGATTTTTCCTCTTTCTCCTTTGTCTTGCCACTTTATGGTCTCATCAGTAATAGTTTGGGAGCTTATCCCTGATGAGGATGGTAGGGAAACCGGATATGTGATGAATGGGATTAAAGAGAATCACACTGAAGGATGTGAAGGAGAATCACATAAAGTTGCCATATTCTTGTTGATGTTTTCAAAAATCAAGCCACAAGCACACAGATTGCTTGCTGGAAAAGGTTTTTTCCCTGATTGTGGCATTAAAAACAGAATATTTAAGTGATAGCACATATTGGATTGGCATTCAAACATGGCATAGTTAGACTTTACAGAATAAAAATGTTAAAAATAAGAATGCCTTCCTTAATATGGCCATTCTGTGTATCTCCTTGATATTGAAATGATAATCACAGTTACAACAGTATTCAATACTTAGATGATCCTATCTTTTGGACTGGGAAATCATTGCTTAGCAAAACACTGTCAGAGCAGAAAGGTCTTCTCTCTATCCCTCCCATTTCCTTCCTGTGATATGGAAGAGGATTTTCTCTGTGCTGGAGGATCGAGCTATTGCTCTTCTGGGGCACAGATGCAAATAAGATTACCATCTACTGTTTCACCCTTTTGGTTGAGTTTTGTTCCCCACAATGCTTTCTTCCTTCTTTAATCCTGCCACACATGATTTTCTTTAGTTGCATCTGCAGCATAACCTTCTTCACAGGCATAGAGGGGAGGAAGTTCACAAAACAAACTTGGTGAAGTGGTTAGACAGAGCAAGGGAAGAGCAGAATACTAATTGAAGAAGCATGGCAGTCTAGTCCCATTCCATTCAAACTAGCAAACCTCCCAGACACCCTGACGTACTCACAACTATCTGTTCCACTGGGGTGTGATGCTTGGGCAACTGCTGTGCTGCCTTCCAGTCTTACATGAAAGTACAGTGGTACCGTGACTCAACGAACGTAATCTGTTCCAGGACTCTGCCGTGATCCAAACTGGTCGTGAGCCAAGTTAAATTTCCCCATAAGGTTTAATGTAAATAAGGTTAATCCGTTCTGTAACCACTTTTTAAATCAGAAAAATGTGAAGCAAAGTGACAACAAAGATTGTGGCCACTTCCCCCCAAGCACAAGCGCTGCCATCTCCTTGCCCCTGCTGCACAACCGAGAATGTGCCTGTCATCTCTGCATGTGCTTGTCACCCCTGCAGGTGTCGGGGGGGGGAGAGACGGGCATGATCACAGATGCACTGGGGGAGGAAGAGACAGGCACAAATGGCGCACTGGGGGAGGGAGAGATGGGCGCCATCTCCCCCCCGCCCCTAGCACGATCACGGCCATCTCCCAGTGGGGAGACGGCCATGATCGCAGTTCCATTCGTGCAGGGAAGACATGTGTGATCACAGGCGCGTTGCTGCAGGAAAGACGGGCGCAGCACAGCACAGCCACGGGGGAGATGGCCAAGATTGCGCCCATCTTTCCTGCAGGAGTGCTTCTCTGATCACGCACGCCTTCCCTGCGCAAAAGCAACTGCGATCGTGGCCATCTCTCCACTTGGCGGGGAGGGAGATGGCTGCGATCTTGGACTTCACCAAAATGCCTCAGATCACAAGTACCCTTTCACACTTGACAGAGAAGGGTTTGAAGAACTGGGAATTGAAGCCTCCTTCTCTAATAGTGTCTCAGACTGAATTGTCACTCCTACACCAGGCCACTCTTCACTCCTGCACATGTGGTAAAGAAGCTTTCATGGAAGGCAGGATCTTGGAACTGAACAAGTAATTGACGGACATGCTTTTCACAGTCCAGGCATCTAGCCTGGCAGTATCAGTACTGATTCCTCAGCCAACAATGCAAGCCGTCAGTGGATCGAGTTTCCTCATCATAGGAGGGGATGACAAAGACATAGATTCAGTGACTCAGCTTTATTTAAAGGTTGTTTGGTTAACACAGACCACACTTCTGAAGTCATGGCATTGATGCTTTATGTGCTATCAAGTCATCTTCAACTTATGAATGAAAGCTCACCAAAGCTCCCATCCATAGCAGCCCTGTTCAGCTCTTCCACTTAAACTTAGACATTATAAATCAATTAACTTGAGAGTTGATGGTCCAGCGCTTAGATGAAAAACCAGTCCAGAAGCAAATGTATAGGCCTAATCAGAGATTTTAAATCATTGATCCAGGTTTATGATGCAAGAACCTGGTCTAGGAGATAAGCCCAAAATCAGAGAAGGCTAGAAATATACACACTGGCAAAGATCAAGTCCAATAACAGAGCCTGCTTTGGAAATCTCTACAGCATCAAGATAAAACAAAGTCTTAAAAGTTAATAATAGTCCAAACCAGAAGGCATTTTGAGTAATCAAAGTCAAAGGTATTTGGTTCATAGCAAACAGTCCATGGTATATTAGAAGACCAGCAGTTATGTTGCACAGCAGATTTTAACACAAGGTTCAACGGATCAAGGTCCAGAGCAGATGACCAACCCGAGAGAGAGCGAGCATTTCAGTAATGCAATTAATGGAAAGGCCAGGCAGCCAAGACAGCATAGCAGCTCCATGGCAGGGAACCAGGCAAAGGCTCAAATTACTTGTGCCACATCAGTTGCCAACCTGGAACTTTCATGTTGCAAGATTTTCTGGAAGCGTGAACAGAACAGACAGAAAATGTTTGACAAGGAAAGAACATTATAGGCGAAGAAGAAGAGCTCTAGTACATAAAAGATATTTACAGGCTTCCTTATGTATTGACAGGTAAACAGAGGAGTGGTTTCTAAGCTCATTAATAATTACTCTGTTTTTGCAGCTGAATTTAATCCATAAACATGTCAAAACAAGCGGTTTCTGTTCTGCTCTCTTGGGCTGAAGCTGCAAGCAGAGATACATCTCTAAGTGACTTCTCTCATGCTTGGTTCCCATCAAATATTTCCCAGGTGATAAATCAAAGCCTGGCTCAAAGTAGCATCTTGTACTTGTTTTAAGACACACATTTCTCTCTTTCTTTGCCTGGAATTAACTGAGAAGTTGGACCCAGCCAACTTCATACAGCTGTACTGGATTCTACATTATGCCTATCTACTCTGAAGCAGGCTTAGATTTAGAGGCTGCAAAGCCTACCAGACCAAGCCAGATCTCAAAATTGGCATTTCTACTGTTCATTGACTCCCTAATACCACAGGTACTGCCAACATTACTACCAATGTAACGATCAATCAATCTATAGATGCAAAATTCACCTATACTTCATCAGATCTATGGAGAAGTAGGTCACCATAATGGCATTCTGTAGTCTGGCAGGTTTTCCATTGGTCTTTTTGGAATATTTTTCCTCAAGCCCAAAGGGGTTGTTGATCTGGATGGCATGAACAATATTAGCATTTTAGCAATCACCCAGGCTAGGTAGGATAGACAGACACTGCTGCATTAGACGATGCTGTTTCAGTATATCATTTGAAAGAACCTTATTATGAATCTGTGACAGAGTATTCTGTCAATACCATTGCTGATATTCAGATACTAGCTAAAATAGGTAAGTACCAACATTCGCCATTGGCTACTGTTTCAATTCCTTCACCAGCTGGACATATTACTAGCCCCTCCAGAATTCCTTCCCCTTGATTGCCAACCAAAGCACTAACAGTTCAGCCTGTGACTATAGTACTGACATTGATTTCCACAATGATTGCTCAGCTGTTTGTCATGTTACCTTCTGGTCCTTGCCCTGCTTCCACTTGGGGCACTTCATTGCAACAGGTGCCTGTATTTTCATCAGGTCTTGGTGGATCATGATCTGCTCAGCAGCAAGACTGTGTTGCCACAGTCAGTGGCAGATGATTACTAGTTGTATTTGATGTCCACAGCACCCACCATTTCGTATCTAGATGCTACAGTAAGAAATCCAGTCAGCATTTCCTTTTGAGGACATAGATCCTCAGAGGAGGAACTCTTGGATGGTGCAGTTTCTCAGTCTTGAGATCCAACTACCCATTCTTCAGATTATAGATCCAGTTTTCAGTGTCACGCAATCTAAAGCCATGGCTCCTATAGCAATCTTGTTGCTTCCTGCATTTTTTCAGGAGTCCATTAATCATAGACCACTTCATCATTGGCTCCTCCTACTTCAGTGCATCTCAAGAAAATGTGCAGGGTTCGGGAAAAGGGTGTAGGGCTTCTACTCACACATTTCACACCAAATTCTGTTGTCTAGGGTCTCGGGAAGTCTTAAAAATCCATTCTTCCCTAGTAGATAAAGAGGAACAGTGCATCTATTCTTCTTCCGCCTGGGATTGTAGGCACAAAATCAGTGTCCAGATGCCAGCTGTTCCTGTGATAGAAAATGGAAACCTTAAGAATAAACAAAAGTTGGCTAGAATAATCCAAGGCAAAACAATGTGGTGCCAACAGATGAAAATGCCTAGGCATCAGATTCTGATGCAAAGACTATAGTGGATTCTACGACATTAACAAGATATGGTTGTCTTAGGTCTGCAGGACTGTCTCACGAAGCTTAGTCAGAGATGGAAAGCATCCCTTTTAGTAGGGAAAGTTTAATTCAAAAACAGATGTAGCTATGGACTTAGTACAAAAGACCAAGAATTCTATCCAGCGTGTGGGTTTAGAACAGCAGACCACCTCTAATGACCACTTTATAAACAATTTTGATTTCTGACTGGACAATCTTAAGCCACCTGCTCAATTCCCTCCTATAGCAATCTTGTTGCTTCCTGCATTTTTTTCAGGACAGTATCACTCCTCAAACTTTAGGAAAAACCACAGGAAGCAGGGCAGTGACAATTCACATTACCTTGGACTTTCCCCTGCAGAGTTTTTGTTCCTCTACCTCTATCAACCCACCTTTGGAGCCTATTTCTCCATCATAGAAGCACATGACACTGGGCTTCTCTGAGCCTTCTGTATTTTGCAGAGGCGCTACAGGATCAAGTTTAACAACCTTCCTCCAAAACAGTACTATCTGAACCAGCACTTCCTGTAGGTTCTCTTGAAGGAAATAGATCCTCTTCTAGCAAAGGGAGCAATACAAATCCACAGGATCAAATGCATGGAGGATTCTTCTCCTGTTATTTCATCATTGCAATGAAAGATGAAGCCCTTCAACTGAACCCAGATCTTAGCTAGATGATTCCATATATCACCTTGGGGCACTTTCACGTGGGCACACTGTCTCCTCTACTTTGAGAAGGGGCTTGGTTTGCATCTGTAGATTTGGGGGATGTATAGTTCCACTGTGTCATCAACAGGAATTATCAGTGCTTCCTTTGATTCACGATCAGACCTGTTGCGTGCCAGTTCCATGTTGCCCTTCAGTCTTGCCATGGTGCTGAGAATTTTCACCAAGTCTATGGCTGTGGTCATAGTTCATCTTCTTCAGTGGGTGTTTGTGACTTGATTGTGGATAGCATCTACAAGAGAAGGGAACCTGAATGCTATTTCCACAATACACTGTTTGCTGTAGGATCCCGATCTCTGTTTGAAAAAAAAAAAAAACACTCTAGTTTGGTGGACAAATGCTTCTAATCACTGGAGAGGTTGAAAGCCTCTTTTCACTTTGCGTTCTCCATCTCTGATGGTGACAATGGATGATCCCTGAAAGTTTAGGGAATATGAACAGAAACAGGAGCTGTTTCACAACTTTTTGGAGCTTCTAGCTATTGAGAAGGCATTGTGAGCATTTGATGCAGACCCCAGAGGCCACTAAGTTCAGATTATATCTGATACTACCATGACTGTGTACTACTTTAATAAGTAAGTAGGTAAAAACTCTCCGCTTCTGACTGACCTCACATGCCACAATTTCCATTGATGAATCCCTCACAGGATTGGGCTGATAGGGAGGCATGTTGCTGGAGGGAAGAACTGTATACCAATGATCTTAGATCAGGGGTCCTCAAACTTTTTCAACAGGGCCAGTTAAAAGGTGCTGGCAGTGTGGGCGGGTCGGTAAGGCGGTGCCGGTGGCAGTGCGTGGGCCAGCAAGGGAGCGCGAGCGGGGTGCATGTATGCGCAGCAAGGCAAAGCGGGGGCGGGTGGGCATGAGGGGAGGGGGAGCAAGGTGGGCATGTGTGCGAGGGGAGGCGGGGTGGGGCGGACACGTGCAGCGGGGCGCAAAGCAGTGGCTTGCTTGCTCGGAGATCATTTTCTCAGAGCGAGTCCAAAACGATCTCTGCGCAAGCAAGCTGCCGCCTCCCTGCCAGCACAGCAAGGCGGTGGCAGGTGGTGTGGGGCACAGCGGGTGGCTACGGGCACGGCGAGTCCAAAACCTCCCAGGTGGGCCAGATAAATGGGCATGGCGGGCCTCGTCCGGCCCGCAGGCCATAGTTTGAGGACCCATGTCTTAGATGGACCTACCCGGAACTACACAAATTTCCTTGATCTTTTCTTGGGACGCTTCAGAGTTGGATGTATTCAATGGAGATCACTATTTACCCAAATTTCTGCAGAACATTAAAAAGATACTTCCTAACTGTGAGAGTTTGACAGTGGAACAGACTGCTTCAGGAAGTGGTGGGTTCTTGTTTGCTGGAGGTATTTAAGCACAGACTGGTCAGCCAGCTGTCAGGGATGTTAGCTGTGTTCTTGGACCCTTAATCTGAATAGTTTACAGGAATAGCATCCCCAAATCCAAACCAAATAAGAAACTTAAAACTTGCATTTTTCCCAATAAAAGTCATCCACAATTCAATTTGTGCATGATTTCTCAGAAGAATGTCTCATTGAAGTGTCCATCTTCTGCTTCCATACATAAGTTTCAACAGAGATCCAGAGCAGGGCCAGAGAGTAATGAACAGTGTAGAAGAATGGGATGCACAAAGATTTCTAAACACTGACGCATTCCGGGCATGTTGAGGAGGGACAAAGACACGACAGAAGCAAGTCAGGACATGTGGGCAGAGCACAGATTGTGCTCTGGCCATGTTGGCTCAAAGGCAAATAAAGAGGAAGGAGGCACTTAATTAATTTAAAAATAATTTGCATTGATATTTTGAGTGCTTTTTAAATTCCTGCAATATAAAGTAATGCATACTATTTTAATAGAAAGTTCAAGGAAGAATGCAGTTATTTTTCAAACTTACAAGTAAGTGCTAGATATTTTCCCCAGTTTGGGTCTCTCCTTTATAGTCTTTTGAATAACTGAATACATCTGCAAAAAGCTGCACTGAATTGTGCAGTAATACAAAAAAGAGCAACTGCTAATTAACCATCAGAATTGAGTGGGATTAAGTACTTACCTTGTTTAGCTACATTTGCATTCATAACTGAATGTAATCTAAAATGACTTCTTTTGCAATGTTACTATATACAAAAGTTCTTAGAAATTCATTTGAATGCTTAGAAACACATAATACAATTTGGCATGTGCATATCTGTGAATACCTTAGTTTTAATTTGTTTAGCTATGTTGAAAAATGCATGGCCTAGAAATGATCCAGGAGCCAATTTGACTCAATAAATATTTCTAGTTAAGGATTTCCATTGCTTTGCAGTGCCTCTGGACTTGGATTTCTTCCTGAACAACAGAGACAACTTTTGCTGCGTCAACAGCACCAGCAGTTTCAGCAGTTACTGAATACTCAACAATTCGCATCAGTAAGCTGTACCTTTTTATAATTACCGCTATTCCCATGTTAAAGGGCGGGTGCCATGGCCTACATAGCTAAAATGTATTAGAGCAAGGAGGAGATGCCAATAATTTGCTGTTTGCAGAGGTTAAGAGGATAGGGGTTTTAAAAAGGGAACAGACCCCTCCCAAATGTAAAGGAAATTTGTGTGTGTGTGTTTGGGGGAGGGTAGGAAAGCTACCTGTGTTCACTTTCTACTCCACTCTCCCCTTCAGGCAGGGAGACTATTCCCACTCTGGGGAACCTCCTTGCTTGCAAAAGAAGAGCTTTAAAGGCATTGATAGCAGACCCCATCAGCATCATCAAAAACACCTAACAAGGCCCTCTTCTCAGGCAAAGAGGCTATTCTGCTCTCAGAGGCTCCTTCATCTGAGAAAAAGGAACCATGAAGGTGGCTTGACTGACACCTGCAGGGGCCCCCAGAGAAAGATCTCTGAATGCCTACTACGAACATGATCCTTTGCGGGGGAGTGCAGCTCCCTCTAGAACAAGTTGACTGTTCTGGGCATTTATCTGGGCAGGTGAACCTACAGCATCTCTATCTTGTCTTGGCTGAGTCTTAATTTACTGGCCTTCATCCACGCCATTACTATGCTCAGAAATGGATTCAGAACTGCCACTGCCTTAAAAAGAAGAGCTACAGCTGGATGTTATCTGCACACCACTCACACCTCAGCCCACACAACAGAGCAGTACTGGAGCTAGAACTCTGTGGAACCCAAAGTTCAGAGCAATAATTTCCCAGCACCACTTTCTGAACTCAACTGTCCAAATATCAATGCCATACCACCTCCTACTAATGAACACACTAATAGGGAGGGAACTTGCTTCTCCTGCAGTGGAAATCTAGGAAATCACCATTGATTTCCTAGACACATACTAACATTACCATATAAACTAAAGGCCCCTGGACCTTGGGAAAGGAGTTAGAAAGAGCAGCTTCTCAGTGATTTCCTTGTCCACAATTGCTCTTCTGTTCTCCCAGCTGCTGCCCTCTGCTGTTGGTGGTGGTTGTAATGTATTGAACTGAACACCTGTGAAGTGTCCAACTTTGCTGGTTTCTTTAGCTTTCCCTAAGCTGGCAGACAAGGTTCAGGAGGCAAAAGATAAAAACTCTTCTCTGCCAGCAGTGTACCTGTTATCCAGCCTGCTTTTGCCAGCAGTGCCACACACTAAGAGCCAAAGGCCAAGAATCCTGTGGCTCTTTCCCTTCAGCTTACACCAAAGGCATGTGACTGTTAAGTGCAACCTTTAAATACCTAAGGAGTGGATGGAAAACTGAGATATCCTCAGAGAGATGTCCTCCAGCAGACTTGTGGAATCTCAGCAAGGTCTAGTATCAAATCAAGGTCAGGTAATGTCTGGGGAGCAAGCAGAGGAGTTGCTAGTCCAGGCCAGTGGGCATGATGGCCAACCAGCCCTTGAGAATCGGGAGGCAGCACAACACAAGGTATAATTGACAGTGGGGGCTGAGGAGAGCCCCGGTCTACCAATAACAGGGCCAGAGGAGGAGTCTAGGACCAGGCAGGTCTCACAGCAGGAATTGAGCAGTCTGTCTGACTTAGAGGTCCCTCCCCTTGATGCCAGTTGCTAGGAAACAGCATAGGTGGGAAATTAGGTTAACTGAGAAATAAGAAGAATGCAGGAGCGCTAGGTTTCACAACACCCTGCCTGCTGGGATGTGCAGGCGAAAGGGGTATAAAGAAGTGGGGGACTGAGCAGGTGTTCAGAGAGGGCTCAACACTGCACTCTGTTGAGTGAACTCAGAGATATGCGACAGTAAAGCCTTATGAAAAGAAACTTGGGAGTAGCAAGTTTACTTGGGAGAACTGTGCTCCACAACAGTATTGTTTTCTCATACTTTTATTTTTAATTTAATTTAATTTATATGCTACCTACGACATCTCTAGATGGCTGACACTGCTAAAATAACACATTCTAAAAACACAATGTTAAAACTCAATAAAAATTTAAACAATAAAACCCAATTAATCTAATACAAATATAACATTCCGATAAATTAATAAACCCAGCAGGCCATAGTGGCATCCATGGGAGGAATCAAGTATTAAAATATCTTTTAAAAAGATAAGTCTTCGCCTGGTGCTGAAAGGAATACAGAGATGGCGCCAGGCAAATATTCTTAGCGAGAGCATTCCAAATATGGGGAGTAGCGGCAGAAAAGTCTCTCTTCCTATTAGCCACCCCTCTTATTTCCCTGAGGGATGGCTCCTGCAAAAGGGCCCTTGCATCAATCTCAAGGACCAGTTAGGAATACATGGGTGCAAACGGTTCTCCAGATAACTGGGGCCATGGCTGTTCAGAGCTTTCTATGTCAAAACAAGCACCTTGAATTGGGCCCAGGCCACAGTTGGTAACCAATGCAATTCTTTGAATACGGGTGTTATTGAGTGGATGCACATATACTCAAAATTCTGTTTTATTCTTATAATAGCCTTGTGGGAGATGGTAGCATCTCTAGTGAGCTTATAGTTGATCAATAATTCAAACCCAAGATACCTATATTCAAGCCTATATGAGTTCTAAGAAAAGCATTGTTGCTTTTTCCTTGTAGCAATGGATTTGTGTGTATTTTAGTGAGGTACCCTAAAGCTCACTTTTCACCTTTGTTTGATTATGCATTTCTCAATTAAGGAGAAAAAATCACCTGTAAAATGACTGACTAGAATACCCCTCCATTTGTGTATTCAAGGAACAACAGCAAGCTCTTCTCTATCAGTTAGTGCAGCAGCAGCAGCAGCAGCAGCAGCATCACCAACCTGAAGTTCAGCAACTGCAGATTCCAGGATCAGCACAGATTCCCATCAATAACTTACTGGCAGGCTCTCAGGCATCTCCGCTGCATACATCTACAACTAACCCCTTCCTTACAATTCATGGGGATAATGCAACCCCCAAAGTAACTGTAAGTATAAGCAAGTACCATTTACACTGGAGTGAATTCAAGATATATTTACCCAAATGTTAACTTAAAAATAAAAAGAGAAGGAAATGCCTATTTGAACAGTTTTAAATGGGGAGGCATTTTATTCTGCTCCAGCTGCGCAACTGAAAAAGCAGCTTCTACTGTCACAGCAACTTTGGCATCTATTCCCTGGAATGGGACAAAGACTCCAGTGATTCTGGTCCTTCTATCTGCTTGGTAAAGCTATTGAGCTATCCCTCACTGTAATGAAAATGACAATAAGATGCTCCTGGCTTTCCTTTTGACCTCTTCCACACTTCCTAGCTAGGGCAAGGGCAAGGGCAAGTGCTACTACGGATGTTACTGCTATACTATTACTGGTTTCAGCATTGTGCTGGTAGTTCCTGTACTGTGCAAAAAAAGGATGCCTTCACATCTAATTTTAGGCACTGCTTTTTTTGCCATTCTGACAAGCATTTAGGATCAGGTTGTTAGGCTAAAATGCTTAAATTTTACTGCTTAAAATAAGCTAGCATGCTGTCATTTAGCTTTAAGTTATAGAGAATTCCATCAGCACTCAAGTTAAAACAAAGATAACTAGTTTCCTTTTTTTGGTGGTGCTGTCTAGTATTTGCTTAAGTTATTCCTTTAAATAAATTTACTTTGGAAACAGTTACAGTTATAGGGTTTAATTCTAGAACGTGTGACAAAGTAAAGAAGATAGCTGTGAGCATGTGCAGAATGCTTCCCCCCCATCACCAAATAAGCCCCACAATGGATGGGTCGTAAGGAATTTTTGATAAGGACAGTGGCTTCAAGGCAAACTTGGTTATCAGTTATGTTCCTTTCTTGGCAACTAATTACTGCTTAGGGGGTGTTCACAGACTTTAAAACAAAACCTCAAGTCAGTCAGCATTTCACGATCAATCCATATTGTAAATGATTTGCATATTATCCAAAATTCATTGAAGGAAGTTTGAATAATTTACTCAATATTGGTCATCAGGAAAGATCATTTTTAGGTTTTGTTCGCTTTACTCTCTGCTGCTTTCAGCACCCATTTGTATTTGCACAGAGGTTTAGCAACTTAAGAGCACAGACACAGCTGGAAGGGAGAGCTGTAAGCAGCATTAGGACTAAATACCATCCTCTGCTGTTGGAAGTTTGTTTTCCTGTTGGGTCTCAACCTTAGCAAGTACTGGTAATGCAGAAACAAAAAGCTATATTGATGCTTTTTTTAACAGTACATTAAAACTTGGCTTAGATAGATGTTGTATTACTGTACTATGCAATTCTAACAATTGCAGATGTGTATCTTCTTTTCTCCAGAGACTCAATGATAAAAGTGGACCAGTTGTACCAGAAAAGAACTGACATTTGGAGAAGGAAAAAAGTACAATTGCATATCCTGCTGTGATAGCACTTCATCAGGCTGCAAGCTGTAGTCTCTTTTTGCAGGTATGACTAGATGTAACAAGGAGAAAACTGCACATTGGAAAAGCAAATCTACCTGAAGATGTGTGAGGTTTTGACCTTGTTGCTTTTTGTTGCACTGACATGGAACTGCTTTCTTCAGATTTCATGGAACTTTTTTCATACAAGAATTGTCAGTTTTGACAATTGCTTTGAGCTCTGCTACTGAATTAGTAGCCCTTTAACATATCGCAGTGCTAATAAACAGCCTATCCATTACTTGTTTGAAGAAAGCAAACAAAACTACAAGTTAAACATCAGTGTTTTAGAAATAATAGTTTTTCCTAAAAGGACCATGGTTTAAGGGTTTTTTTTTAGGATGCACTCCTGTGGTTCCCAGATGTTGTCTGGATAACCATAGGAGAGGTAGAAGTCCCAACTCCAGCCTAAGAAACAAACTCTGAAGTCAGTACTGGAGCTACTACCTTGGAATGCCCACCCTCACAGTAGGCAGAATTCTTTGCAAGCTAGCTTTGTTCCAAGAAGAATTCTTTGCAAGCTAGCTTTGTTGGAAGACTGTCCCAGTTGCTGAAATTGGACAGTGTGAAGGGTGGGGAGAGCTCTGCTAGGACACAATGTACCCTGGCAGCAGTTCAGCCTCTCTCCTTTGCAGACAGGGGCAAAAGACTTAGATGATCAGCATCAACTAAGTCTTTTGCAGGGTAGGAACAATATGGAGGTGACCTTCACCTCTACATTCCACCCACCCTCAACAGGATGCTTGTTATCCTCTGACTTCAGAGGATCACAGGCAGTCACATTGGATCACACTGTTACTTAGCCTTTTCTTAATTTTAATGGATACTTTGCTTGAACTCTTAAGGGATGACAAACGGTAGTTAATCTTGAATTGTATTTTTTAAGATTGCTTGAAAATACTGTTCAGTTCAAAGATTATATATTTTACCAGGTGAGAAAGTAACTCAAGTTCTGGTAGTGTTTGACCTAACCCAAGTGCCTGTTGCTTACCTCTGTTGGGTTGAAATGGCTGTATACAGCTGGGCATGCACTAAAGAAGTCTTTGTAAAAAAAAAAAAAAAAAAAAAGTGTTTTCAAACTTGCACCAGCAGCCTTCCCCATTGATCTGCCTTTATTAGAAGTGTTTGTCACTGTAGATAGCTCAGGCAAATGATTACCTGGGTTGCTTTCCACTAATAAATTACCAAAAAAGGAGAGAAAAATCTCTCATTTCTAATAAACTATTAACGGGTGAAAGTAAATGTTTGAATATTTTCACTTTGAATAGTTGATTTTCATGATATGACTATGCAGTACAGCAAAGATCATTTGAAGTTGGGGGTTAATAGCCACTAATCTGAATCTGTGTGAATTATTAGTGGAAAATACTCAAGTATATGTAGACCTTCACTGTGTACTTAATTGGAAGAACCTTTTGTTTCTGCAATATCGTTTGGTTAAACATTGCACAGTTCTTACCTCATTTCTGTAAATAAGGTTTTGTGACTGTTTTGTATTGTGGAGGATTCATAAAATGTGGCTATTCTGATTTGTAATATTTCTAAATGGTAGATTTAATTAAAAGGTAAAGAATAATTTATTTTTATATGTTCATGGGAATTTTTTAAAAGTCTCAAATCATTTTTGTAGATAATTTACTAAGGTAAATCAGTGTGGTTTAATTTACTTAAGCCACTCATTTAATATTCTGTAACAATTTGTACAAAATATTGCTGGTTTGACTAGATGTAAAATTGCAAGTTTATATAAAGATATGTACAAAGTTTTGGTTAATAAAATTTAATATTGTTTATGGTTGTAAACCTAAAGCAAGATTGAAGAGTTTTTCCTATTTGATAATGACTTTCATTACATATTTGTATATATTAGCAAATGAGATGGCACTTGTTTTACAGTGCTGAAGTTTTCAACATGAACTAAAATCTTTATTCGCCAGGAGTGGCAGTGCTTTAATTAGCATAATTCTCATTCTCTTTCCTTCCACTCAAAAAGGTGGCAAGCCCTCAATCACTCCCACAACTGTCAAGTTATCTCCCACAAGGCCATGCATCAGCAAGTTAGAATGTGCTAGTCTATATACAGAATGAGTGTTACTACCTATTCTGGTAATAGCCTCTGCTTAGACTACTGTTAAGAGGCTAAATGGTTCTGTTTTCATTCTAATGTGCAGTGTTGCACCTGAAGGCCAGAACCCATGGCAGTGTAAATCCTGCTAAACAAAGGTATTTGTTCAATAACTTAACACAATAAAACACATTCCAGCCACTTCAGCATATACAAAAGTACTACAGTCTTAAGCAGGCCCAAAACCATTTCTCCCACAATCTCCCTAAAGCCCTCTGCTGTTCATTGGAAGGTCAAGCCCACTTTTCCTATTCACAAGTGCTCCAGTTAGCTTAATTACATGCATTAATTTATTGTCATTTCCAAACAATTGGTGGTTTTGGGGGAGGGGGCAACCTGTTCCCCTCAACCACTTGAAATTGCCTAGCTTTTGTGCAGTTTTTACCCATTCTAAATGCTTGGAATTCTTCCACAAAAGACTTACTTAGTTACTAGCAGAAAGAATTTTCAGAGATGATACACGTGTGTCTTCTGTCCACCATGGAAATGCAGTACTTAAGAGGTCTCTTAAACTGAATTCTGTTAGGTTAGAATTAAAAAAGTTAGACTCGCTTAGCCCTAAGACTCTTGCCTGGCCTTAATCAAAGATATGCTATGTAAGCCAGTATATTTAAGTTAACTAGTTCCTATTTTCCTGTTCTAAATATTAATAGTTAGGCCCCTAACACAGCGCTTCAGCTATGGGTGGTACAGAAATGTAATGCAGTAGCAACACTAACACCACCACCACCAACAGGGCTCATAATCTAGGGAAATCAAATTATCTGGAAATCGTATGTACCAAATTTATATGCCACATTGCATACATACATGTTTATGTGTATATTTTTATTCAGCTATGACTCTGCCCATTCCAACCTGGTTCACATGACCTGACAGTCTAGTGTGTAATTTACCCTCAAGCTGGGTGCATGCCAGCTGCCATTATGAATGTGCAACCTCCAACTAATAGTCTCCATGTTGTGCAAACCAGGCCTGTAGGGATTATGGCTATTCATAGGTTGTTTAGCCTTCAAAATAATCCCTGCTGAGTTGGTTCAAATATTCATAATTGCAGCCAGCATACACTACAGCTCCTCAAGGATAAATTAACCCATAGTGGGCTACTATGCAAACTGGCCCAATGTGTAAACAGAAAACAGAACATTTATCATCATCATATTAGTCATTCCTTGTATTAAATACATTAGGAATAAGTCCACATTATATGGATACATATACCAAATGAGAATTTCCTAAAATATTGTTGTACCAATATGAAAAAGCAACCAAAAAGCTGACTCTATTACCACAAATGGAAGGCATAAATTTTTATTGTATTTTATCTTATTTTACTAAGGCACATGACATACTGAAATACTGAGGTATAAAAATACATGTTACTGCATAAGATGTTTAAAATATTCCACTCTGGCAAGTAAAATTATTCAAAATATTCAGCTTTTTACCATCTTTTTCTTTTGTATGAGTTCAACCAGCAACTTGTATCTTGTCATACATTCTTCCTGTATAGAAAAAGAGATTTAGGGAGAGGAGGAGAGAAAGGATAGAAATTTCAGTAATCAAGTTTACTGTACATTTTTGCTGTTGTCAGAAAATGGGCACACTTGTAAATCAGTGGTATGAATTACCCCACTTTAAATTTACACAAATATTTACATAAAGGCTTACTTCATACATGTCTATGTGTTTGTATGTAAAGATATACGGCAAAAATTAACAGGTTGGTACATGATGAGCTAGCAACCATCTCTGGTATTGCAACTCCACTTTTTTCAACAGCTGCTAAGTGTCAACTCATTGAACATACCAACACATTCATACAAATTGTTCTGTAGGCAATTCTGTATCAGAAAGACCCCCATCAGAAACTTGGGAAAGTCACTGCCTGTCAGTGAGAACACTATGGCGTCAGATGGATCAATGGTTTGACTTCCTAGGAGACAGCTTCCTACGTCCCTAACTCCCACGAGCCCTTATCATTGGCTTATCCTGGTTATGACTAAAAGTATTTATAGACTTTTAAAAATTAGCTCAAAAAACAAGTTCAATTTGTGACTTGTGTCTAGTCCCAACGTGTTTTAATCCTAGACAAAACCATGACATTACCTTACTTTTTCCAGGAACATATCTTGCAATTTTATCCCAACGTTCTAGCGTTCCCTTTGGATACTGCTGTAAGGCCAACTCCAGCAGCTTTTGTTGATTCTGAGTCCAAAAGTCTTCTGAACTGCGACATCTCTCTCTTTTTCTGCCCTCGTCATCACTATCCTCCTCTTGGTCTGCAGTGACAAAGTCTTTCTGGCGCTTTCCTCTACACTTGTCTTCTGCTGTCTCTTTCATCACTGGAAGTGTTGTTTCAGGAACCTTTGGTATTGTCTTCCGCTTACGGAGTCTGGCTTCATTCAACACTGTCTCTCTTTGATCAACTGCTGCCACATCTGTTGGTTCAGGGTCACAAGTATACTTTGCTTCTTCTTCCTGTACAGCCTCCTCTCTTTCCCGCTGAGTGATTATATGATCTGATAAGTTAACAGCAGCCTTGTTGGCTCTTGAGTTTTGGGCCAGCATTTTCAGCTCAGACAGCCTAACAACACCTATTGGAAAGATCATCATTTTCAGTTAGAGTTATAATGTTGGAATTAAGAGTTGCCAAACTTAGGTTGGGCATACTGTGCTGATCCTGCACTATTGTTATTCTGCAAGTGGAACCTTCAAATACGAAGTACTTGAATCAGCCCTTCAAAAATAAGCCCTTCTGAAAAATCTAAAGTTTAGGATTACAATAGGTGCTTAAAGGGGGTTCACTTAAATTAGCCATGACTGTATTCTAACAGGTCTACTCTGAAACCAATAATCTAGATCCAGCTGAATGAATTTGGACTTTTTTAACAGATGTTTTCATGACAGTCACACTCAGTTCAAGATAGCTTGCTTCCTTGCTTGATTTAAAACTTGTATGCCATCCCTTATGTATGGCATCTCAGACAGCTTACAATCATGAGCAGCAACTTTTAAACCTTGCATCAATTGGACTGAGGTCTAGGCTCTGACTTGGCCATTCTAAGACAGTCAGATTCTTGGTTTTAAGCCACTTCAGTGTTACTTTGACTTTGTGTTAAGGTTTATTGTCTGCCCCAGTCCAGGTCCCTTGAAGACTGAAAGCATCACCCTAAAAATGTTTTAATAAATAAATAAAATGATGCTGTCACCATCATGCCTCATCATGGAGATGGTGTTTTCAGGTCAAAGAGCAATGGTGACTTTGCATCACACGTAGCATTTTTTGCCTTATCAGACCCATAGATTTCTTTCAACAATGGCTTTCTTCTTACCACTCTTCCATAACTCCAACTTTGTGGGGTGCCTGTGTGATAGTTTTCCTATGTATGGTTTCTCCTGCCTCTGCTGTGAATCTCTCTAGGTCCTTCAGAGTTACCATTAGCCTCTTGGTTGCTTCTCTGACTAATATGCCTCTTAAGTACTTTTTGTGGATGGCCTTCTCTATGCAGAGTTCCAGCTGAGCCAAATTCTTTCCATCCACTTTCAGCAATACTCACTAGCTCTGATGGCAGCAACTTTGTCCTGAGCCTTCTAATGCTGTAGAAGATGCACGAAATTCTCCAGTCTCACCTTTTACATATATTCTTACCAATACTTGTCTGGTGCAGAGAACAAGTCTACATGCCTGGTTCCTAAAGTTTGGCCAAGGAAGATCTGTTCCCAAATCCTAGGAGCTGACCACTCTTAAGTCTATAGCAGAGGTGAGCAGAACATAGTGAACCCCTGACCAGTTCATGGTAGTTCATCTATCACCTACTGGCTGCTGGTCTCTATGATCCAGCTCAAAAAAAAGAGTCTTTAAGTATGACTGTACATTAAGCATTGCTTTTGCCTTAATGGTTAAAGAACAAATAATACAGGCCCACTGAAAACTTACCGGGTGCACATACAACTGTGTCTTTAACCTCCTTTGCTTTCATTGTCACCTGTACAGGAAGGCAGGGAAACCATTTAATTTATACATATAGGTGCATAAGTGAGCTTAAAAAATGTCTAGAAAAAGAACTACTGATATTAACCAAGAGTAAGTCCCCAGCACATATCTCCAAACTATCATCCTTCCAGAACTGTTATCTACTGTCCCCAATCATTGTTACAGCAGTGTTTGGATTAAGGGTCTGGTTCAAAGAACTTGTTACACTGAGCCGTCAACTTCCTTCTTCCCTCCCTCCCTAAGATGGGATTTGATCTGCCATATGGAAAATAAAGGAAAAACTTCGGAGTATTTCATTTCAAGATCCTTCTGCTTCTGCAACTTGCTTACCTTGTTCTTTGGTATTCCTTATGAAGAGCCTTTTCAGTTAGCTGTGTATCTGCGTAATCTGCCTATAGCTCAATATCACAGGGCTTTCCTTTTGACCTGATTCAATGTACTTCCTGCTGAAATGCTTTGATGAAGATAGGTTGGTGCTGCTTACCCTGCCACTGTTCATGTGACACTCAGGAGGTGGAATACAATTCAGCTGGGGAAGAAATGATTGCCTCTTCACTGACCACTTTACTAGGTAGACCAGCTGGGTTATATGTTTAGTATCTATTCTAAGATAAAATGCCATGAGTAATGTTGGTTGTGGCCAAATTCTTACCAGCAACACTGAAAACAAGGAAGCAAGTATCAGATGTAAGAAGGATTTTTCAGGAGATAGGACCTTGGGATACCTATTTTTGTACAGATATGTTTGAATTGGTGTGATTACGTTTTTACATTTTGTATTGTAAATGTTCCCTGCTTTTACTTCTGCTCTGTTGACTGTAATAAGAAGAGCAAACTGTGTCTGCCTTTATTTCACTGAAAATCCCAGGGTGAAAATTTTGGCTCAAAGAACAGGCCGGACTGACCTACTGTCCAAAACCTGGTGAATGGTCAATACATTGCATCTGATTAATCTCTGTCTGTTGCGGAGCACATATTTCTGTTCCTGGGGACTCTGTTCATCCTGAAGTCACCCAGAGAGTTTTGCAGGTCAGCAAAGATGTCCCCTTCCAACACTAGCTACAGTTAGCATGTTGTCATGATTATAACTGTTGGACTAGCAGCAAGGAGACATGTTTCAAACATCTGTTCACCTAGGAAGTTAACGGGGTAACCTGGGAACACCCATTCTCTTTCAGCCTAACCTATCGCATAGGGTTGTTATGACAGTAAAACGAAAGAGTTGAATCCAAATTTAAGATGGCTCAACTGTGCTGGCAGAACTGAGCATTCCTGTCTGCTGCTTCCCGTGACGGTTCCTCCAGCCCCTGAAAATGCAATGTGTTCCCATGCTTGTAGAAGGAAAAGAAATCATGGTGGCAGTTTTTCCCTATCCTGTGTGTGAAAGTATACATGCCTCATTTTCATAATTACTCATGCCATTCACAGGTTGTCATGTCATGCAAACCCAGTGAGGTGGCTGGCTGCTGTCATTCCAAAATCACCCTGAAGTCCATGGTTTGTTCTAGGATTCTAGTCAGGAAACCTCCATGAGGTGTGGTGTGGTGTGGTGTGGTGTGGTGTGGTGTGGGGGGAATCCTCCCACAGTGATGTTTGGCAAGGGGAGTCCTTCCTTTTGCAGGAGGCAGATCCTAGTTCCAACTCTAGAAGAACCATATTGCCTTGAACTCCTTGGGGGAACAATCGTATAGGAATGTAATAAACAACAAAACACATTACACATTGGCCTCTGATTCACATACAATGCCACCACATGGGCTGCACAGGCCAAGTGGAAGCAAGTGAGCATATTTATTCCTATGAAATTATTCTTTTCAATCAATCAATCCATGATTTGTTTCTGAGGTAACTTGGGTCATTTAACCTCTAAAAATCCATAGTTCTGCATTCAGATGTCACAACAACAATCCAAAAATAGGTTGTTCTTGGGCCCCTGATTGAAAACAGAATTGTGAGGTGCAGTGTGCTTACTTGTTCCTGGTTGGCAATGCAAAGCCCTATGTTAAAAACAAACAACAACAACAAGAATTACAGGGGAACTGGATCATTGGCTCTTTTCATTCGTCTAGGACATGGGTCCTCAAACTACGGCCCGCGGCCCAAACCTGGCCCGCCATGCCCATTTATCCAGCCCGCCTCCAAGGTTTTGGACTCAGAGAAAACGATCTCTGAGATAGCAAGCCACCACCTCGCTGGCCCACGCCCGCCGCTACTGCCTTTCAACTGGCCCCCTGTTGAAAAAGTTTGAGGACCCCAGTCTAAGACTTCCAGTTCCATCTGAAGAGCAAGAGAACCTGTTGTTTCACCTCTCACATTTCTGCCATAACAAGCCCCTAAGCAAAAGCAGAGCAGCTTCTGCCTTCTGTGACCAGAAGAAAATTTTCAGGAGAGGAAGGGCTCTGCTTACGAAAGGTCCCTTCACTAAAGCACACACATGCCACGGCTCACTCTATTAATCAGGGTCTCCCAACTCGGTGTAACGTTTCAGGGGACTGGAAGGGTGACATGGGAAGGAGGAAGAAACCAAATCAGTTCCAGCATTAATCTGGGTCCAACCCATAATTGGCAAACAATAACATACAATTGCACAGGAAAGACATGCATGGACTCTTTAGAAAAGGAGACAATCAGATATAACTTTACAAATAAACAATATCTTTAAGACCAATACATTCATTCATTTTGCTTACAATCTGCCAACACACACCCCACCCATAATAGTAATCTAAGTATGTTTAACAGAGATCCTGAGCTGTTTAAAAGTTAACACCTCAGGCTAAGAACAGATTTTAAAGGCACTGAGTTTCTTCCCATGAGCCCAATGGTGGTTAATCATTTGCCCATTTTCTCAGACATCTGGGATGTTTTTCTAACTGCACCCCACCCCTGTTACCTCACACTGCCAGGCAACACGCTAATTAGAAAAATGTGCTCCTATCTGCCCACCTGTCTATTGTTTTGCTGCCTACCTGAGCCTTTTCCATGCAGGCAGCAAATCCCCCATCAGTCTGCTATTGCAACCTGAACACAAGAGATTAGTGACCACAGAAGGCATGAAGAATCAGTTTACATCCTCTCAGGCAAGCAAATGATATTATTTCATGAGGATGGAACCAGAGAGCTCTTTGCTGTCAGTTCAGGAAACCTGCCATTAAAAGTGGCATTGATGCCTATATTGCATGCCAGACTATTTTATGTTCACAATTCCACTATTCCCTTCCACTATTAAAAATAATGACAAGATCCAGAGGACTCACTATATACTCATAAAGAGCCTCCACAAGTGGACCAGGTGTGGTGAGGGCTTGGCCTTTACATCTGACAACTGTCCCCTAATGCCACATTCAGCGCTGTTCCAGAGGGGCTCCCTACCTTCACAGGCGGTTCCCTGGAGCACCTGAAGACCCACATCAGGAGAAGAAGGCTAAAATGCAATTGTGGCCCTCTGGATTTTGGCCTGCATAAAATGATTGTGCTATGCCAAACAGTGCCCAAAAATTTCATCTCCCTTTCAAAACTTCAGTACCATTACTTGTATTCAAATTACATTTGATTTAGGATTTTGGGAAATCAAGTAACATCTACAGTGCCTTGTAAAAGAATATCTAGATACAGAATATGCATGTATGTATATTAAAAACTGACAGGTTCCTTGTGTGTATGTGTGCACACATACATGGCTATGAGTGATACAATCCTCCCCAAACTATACAGACCATATCTGTAGTTTCACTTGTCCCTACAAAGCAGGTACTCCTAAATGGTGTGGAGAGAACTCCTCTGTTCTGTTCCATTGAATAACTCCACCCACCTGGAAATATTCATGCTATTTCTACTGTGCTGGAAACACAAAATGGCAGCATGTATATATTACATGTCCCAACACACAAGCTACAGCAAATTCCACACATGTGCCAAGTGGCATCAACACATGCTCAAACATTACAAAGCTGAAGGACATTCTTGGAAAAATTGTCACTCACCCTGTCTATGCTCACTGAGAAAAACTAGAAGAAACTTAATCGAAGAAAGAAAATTTCACCCATCATCAGGTAAAGGGGATGTTTCTTTAAATGGTTAAAAAGGCTGGAATGAGGGCTACAAATTCAGCAAGGGGGAAATGGGTCAAAGAACAGATGTGTTGAGGCAGGCATGGAGTGGTGGTGCAGGTAATCAGGCCAGCAGGCAGGAGCTCTTACAACAGGGAACGGAAGGCTGCTTCCCTTTCATAACTGAAACGCTTGGCAATAACAAATTTAATACATATCACAAACACAAACCAGTGAAGTAATTTAATTAATGCTACATTATCTTTTCATTCAGAATACAAATATGATCTCATAATACTGATTGGTTTAAGGGAAGTTTGATTTTGAAAGGAGAACTGAAATAGCGTGCATGTTAAAAGTTGTTTCAAATGTTTAGATCCTGGGCCAGTTCTCACAATCAAACTGACACAGACATTTGTGAACTGAGATCTTGGGTAACTTGGAGGCTGATTAAATTATTAAAGTCACTGTTTCATCAAGATTTCCACTGCATGGTCATACTCAAAAAAGGACTGCAAAAACAACTAAAACCATCTTATTCTGGCTATTCCTCCCTCTAATTCTAAAACTCAGTAAAATTGTTAATTTATTATAAACTGTAAGTGTAAGTATACCATTATACTTGTTCCTAAAATTTTATCTTTATATCTGTCCTTTTGCTTCTGAAAATTTGAAGAGTGTCACTTCATGAAATATATACGATGCAAATAGGCAAATAACATCCTTTAGCTTTATAATCCTTCCCCCAAACAATTCAAGTTTTTCTTGACATATTTTATTCTTACAACTATTCTGTGAGGTAGATTTGGTTGAGTGTGACTGGCCAAAAGTCACTCAGTAAGTATCATAATCATTTGAAATTAGGTCTCTCTGGTCCTAGTTCTGCTAAACTGGCTCTAACTGATGGCAGCAGAAAAATATGGGCATTGTGTTTGTGTGCATGAGAGAGGGATTTTAGAAATGCAACAAACATGTTTATGCTTTATAATCATCGATCCACATTTACGGGGTCATATATGCAGTTCTAACAACTCCTGCTTAACAGACTAGCTATATATGCTTCCACAGCTTTATTCAGCTGCTGTGTTCTTCTTCTCTTTCTCATTCCCACCAATAGCAGCAATTCCTGGGAAACACACTGACCACATGGCTGATGCGGAGAGCATGCAAATCATAGTATGCTGGATCTCATTTGAGAAGGACCTCAGTGCTACATTCCCCAAAACATGGCCCTGTGCCACCTCCCGCTACTGCTCTTTTAGATCCTACTGGCTCCTGTGCCTTCCTAAGTACCTAAGACAAGCCATGCTGGATCAGACCAAAGATTCAGCACTCTGTATACAATGTGGCAAACCAGCTGGCCACAGCATCCCTCAAGCAGGATTGGTGCAAGACCTCCTCCTGCCCGAGCTCCTCAGCAACTGGTGGATGCAGGCACGGTAAAGCAGGTAGGCACACAGCCAGCAAAACTAGTAGCCACAGCAGTGACATCTTCTCACTGGACAAAATGGCCCATGGCCACAACAGCTGAGCAGGGCTGCCAAGGACAGAGCAAGGTGGAGGGGGCACATGCACAGGGTCACTGTAAGCCAGCACTTACTTGATGGCATGGAGCAACGATCTTCTAAACAAACGAGCAGCAAAAAGCACCCTACATCCAGAGCCAACATAGTGGGGAAAAACCCTGCTTATAAAACCAAGCGAAAAGGAAGGAAAAACCAAACAAAAATCAGGAACGCAGTTTCATACCCCACTATATTCTCCTCCAGGAGATGAGACAATCCTTATATTTGAGCAAGAAACATACTTTTTGGGATAGGAAAGAAATGCAAGTCCCAAATGCAATAGTCAGCATATCTATGTGTCAGAGGCAACAAGAAGCAGGAGCCCCAGCCGAGGAAATAAATGATCCAAAGAGTATGCAGCAAAAAGCTTTCAGGGAGTTGTTTTGTTTGACAACATGGAGAAATTAACAAGTGAAACCATACAATGACTCAGGTAAAAAGGCACCTTTCCACCCTCAAATTTGGATTTAGCTAGCAGTGTTCTTGAAGAAGTGGAAAGCAAGTTTAATTAACAGCCACAATTTGACAGCTGACAAAAACCAGAGGTACTCTTTTTAAATCATTTCAACAACAGCAGCTCAAATACGCATATACAAATTTCAATCCATCAGAGCACACAAAAATGATTAATACAATTTAAGGTGGCCAAGATACCTCAGTTTGTACAAATTAAGTTCAATTTCCTAACTCATAATTATGCAAAGTAAATGCATAGATTTACCCATTCTGTGTAATTCTGTTTTAAAGATTCAGACTGGGATAAAAAAGGCTTCTGTGTGCATGCATTTGCCATTGCAGCAGCACTGACTGATTTTTCCACCAAGCAGCAGTCTCCCTTGTTTCATTAGATGTTGCTCAAAAGGGTTTCTCAACTCTCTGGGATGACACTTCAAGTGAAGTACAAGATTTTATAGCTTCTTTCTTTCTAAAACAGAAGTTCCATTTTTAGGAAAGCTCTTTTGTAAAATTAAGTAAAAGACACAATCAATGAATGTAACTGAATTCAGATTAGGCAAATGGTTGAATTTATAAGTAAAATCCCTAGGAAACAGATATATTGATGTCCTGAATTCTTTACCCATGCTGAAATCAGTATGTTAACCATTTTCAATGCTCTCAAGTTTTTTTTCTAAAATATACATGAAGTACAAGAAGTGCATGAGTTGTCATGTCTTCAAATTTTTCAAGTATTCCAATAAAAATAATGTCCAAATGAAGCTTCAAGTCTGCCTCATTTAAACCATATCAAGTGTACTTTATTTTTTAAAGAATTAAATATTTTGGATATTGGAAAAAACATTTCAGATATTTATATAACATATATATTAGTATGGCATACTTAAGGTTTTTTGCTACATAGAAACCAAATACAAGCAAAACATTTGTGGCTTCATATATAAGAATGTTTGTCCCCTCAAAAAATGATATAAATTCATTTAGAAACTAGAAATCATTTCTAGAGAAATAGGCTTCTTTTAAATATATGTTGATTGCAATAATGCAAGCTTAGGGTTTGCTGGAATGGAATTAAACATCCTAAACGGAACACTTTGGGTTCCCTTTTCATGTTTTGTTAGCGTGTATTAAATCAGGACACTATGCATTTGATTTTGTGACTAAAATCATATGCTTAGGATTGCTTATCAGTGACTTTAGTCTAAATGTTATATAGGTATTGATACATAAAATGGCCATGAAATTCTGTTCATACCTAACCAGAGTGCAAAAATGCTGACCAAACAAGAAAGTCAGATGGAAACAAATAGACAAAGAGGTCACTTGTTGCTCAGCCCTGAATGGGAAGAAGAAGGGCTTAAGGGCCGTCTCACTTTGGAACCAACCATAACTACACAGTAAGGCAGGTTTGGACATTTCAAGCAAAGATGCCCATGTTGCAAAAGAAAGGGTGCAAGGGCATTCCAATTACAAGAGTCTGTAGTCCCCCAAAGTTCATGCCATAATTAATCTTGCCTAACATGTCACAAGACTGCCCATGAAAATTGTTACAAACCACACTTTTTAACCACTGTCCTGATGTTTTTGGAAACCTCAGGAGAATTCTATTTCTTCTCTTTGGAGTCAGACTCCAAGAACCACAACTGCTTCAGTCCATCCAATTGTGGACCGAAATAACATTGTTTGGTCACTCACATAGAGAGGCAAATTGATCACTGACACATCACTATATTCCACATTATGGTGTAGACCCATCATTTCATGGAAAAAAGAATATGAGCTTTAATTAAACACTATTAATTGATCTACATTTAGTTTAGAGGGGTGTTCTAGGCCTAAACAGAAATATTATCTTTACTTAAGTCTCACAAATGTTCTCTTCCAACTAAGAGGGTTTACTACAAAGACTAGAACTGGCATTGTTTTTCTGTTATCAGGTTACAGTAGCTCAAGTCTCTAAGCACCAGAATCATCATATGGCTGATCAGTTACAGCTGTTAATTGTGGAGCAAAGGGACCAGCTGACATCTGCTTCTTCCATAGTTAGTTAATGGTTCACTTCCAGGTCCTAAAAGCATTGCAACCTCTCTCAAATGGACCCCTTCTATGTCTGGCTTCTACACTCCCCATCTTGTTCTGATTTGTCCATACAATGCAAATTCAAGTGAACTCACATCTGCCACTGATCGACCCAATTCATGAGCAATCTTTTCCCATCGACCAGGCGTACCCCCTGGGAACTTAACCATACTTCTTGTCAGTTGGCTAAGGTCCTCTTCCGTCCATTCAGGTGCCTGTAAAACATGCATAGAACATTTATTACACTAGCAGACTAGGAGGATTTCTGTGTGGCTAAAACACTGAGCACAAGACTTAAGCAAAGTAATCATGAAACAGCTTTTGACTACCAACAATTTCTTACCTTGCTTAGTATTTTCAGCTTTCTATTGTGGTGTAAAGTAACAGAAGATCCAACTTACTGTAAACATACTGCTGACACGTATTACATTACATGTATACACAACTGAAGGTCACCTTATTACATTTACAATATGTTGTATAGAAGTAAGCAAATGCATGTGTGAACAATACATGCAAACACATGTGCATGCACATATGCAGGGAAAAACACATTAAAATAAAAATTCACATTCACATGCTGAAAACTATTAATATGACAAATCTTTTTTCTGGGGCATGAACTCAGGAAAGATGAAGCAGACCTGGATTTAGCAAAATAATAATACTTTTACCATGCAGTCCATACTGTTACATTTTAAAATGGTGCAACAGATCAGTTGAGGATTTCTGGAGCTGGTGTTTAATGCGTTGAAGCACTCAGACTAAACAGCTTCTGAGCAGGGTGCCACACAGGAAAGAGGGGATGGGACTAGCTACTTTCAGAGAGGTCATGATATTACACTCATTGAGAAGAAACTGGAATTCTTCCTTTTATGCCAAACCAAAATCAAAACACACCATGCAAAAAAATAAAAAAAATGGTTCTTCTATATAGAGAAGCCTTAACGTTCACGTGCAAGCAGCTGTTTCCACCTTCCCTTTTGCTCAGAAAAGCCATCTGGACGAAGCTTCCTCTGCACCAGCACCATTAGTAAGCAACAGCTTCCCATTTCTATTTATTTCAAAAAAGAGCCCTTTATGACGAATACCTCCCCTCATCACCATTTCCGATAATGAACAGGCAGGCATCAAGCAGTTTGCATTACAGAGCCATCAACACAGAACAACAGTCAGAGGTGAATGACCCCAGAGACCATCTCCACAGCTACGGCAAAGCTTCTCCCTGACACTAATCCTGCCTGTCATTCTCCCACTGTGCTCTAACCACACTGACGTCCGCCTGCTGCACCACAAGCTTGAACGGGGCCCTTCCTGACTTTTTACTGTCTCCCCCAATCAATGGCTCAAGCGTGCTCTTTTCACCATGTCCAAATGGCAGCTTCACTCATAATCAGAGTGCCTTGGCCCTGTGTAAAGGGCTTCCCAAAGGCTCTGCCATTTGCATTCATTTGCAAAGCAAACTACTTTTATTCACTTTGTCCTGCTATCAAGAATGCTCCCTGAAGCAGAGAAATTGGCATAAATATACAGCCTGCCACTTAAGAGACAGTAAATAATAGCTAATAGTGGGAAGGATTTTTATCAATCATCCCTATTTCACGGCTGTGTGTATCTTTGTTCATGAAACACTGAAAATCATATCTGCATGGATGTTTGTATAATCATTACAATTCAGTAAAGAGTGCAGGTATGGGTGGGTGAACGAACGCACACGCACGGGACGTACTTTTTCTGGCTTGGAGGAAAGAAAAACACCAAGTATGCAGGGCTGGTGAACTGATGAGAAGGAAGACGATTTCCTCTGGAAGTAATCAAGCCTTCCTCAAGAAGTGAACATTTTCCTCCTCCCCCATCCCACCCACTCCCCCAGCAACTCTGACCACAGACACTTATTGTAAAACCAACTGTCCAAGTACCACAGTATTAGATATATACTATTGGCCAGGATCCAAACAGTTCTCTTTAGTCATGTGGCTTATTAAATGCTTAATGAAGTTTTGAACAACTCACTGCCCCAGGAGCAATTTGTACTCTATTAGCATTGGTTTGTGAAATGGCTGTAAGATTTGGTGGGGGAAGCCTTGCTTGGTGGAATGGGGGCTGCTGACAGAGAGTGAGTCAAGTCCTTCACTTTCCACTGAGCAAAGCATGTGGGTTCTTTGGAACTTCGCCTATACACCATTCATCAAAGAGGTTACAGGTTATTTGTCAGGTGCTTGTTAATATTTAGTGTGTCTTCAAATGGTGACTTGCATTCCTGCACAAGCATTCTCAAAGTATGTTTAAAATGAAAACAATGTGGACAACTGTTTCTCTAATAACACTCTGTATATGCAAACTTTTAACACATATCCAAATTTAAGTCTGTGGAAATCTTAAAAGTTTTTGAATAATCTGAAACTCTGATGGTAGTGATGGTGGTGGCAGAACAGGAATTTCACACATTTCGACCAACACAAAGGTTCTTCCCCAGTACTATGCACCTTCAAAATGAATTGAAGATAATAACAGAGCAGTTCCATTTTGGAATCAAAAAACTCTACAAATGATTAATACATGTAGCTTGCCTTTAGATCTCTTGAATTCCTGTAAGCTTTGAGCTGGCAACACATTTTTTTGAAATCATATACTCTAAAACATGATTTCCGCAATGACCATGCTTCTGTTGGTCAAAATGTGTCCTCTGGTATGCTGAATTGCCTAGTCAAACTTCTGTCCCACATTATGTAATCAATATTACAAATTGTAAATAGAGGAAAGCCTCTAATTAAAATCTGAGGCTTTGACAGGCCTTATGAGGTCTGTCAATGAATTCCACTCTAGCTGAGGCATGTTATTGTTGGATCCCTTTTAAAGAAGGAACATCTCTATGTAGATCCAATGTGCTTGAAAATCTTCCTCACTACTTACTTGATTGTCACATTTATGGGGTTTTAAGAGCAGCCTTGTTTACAAATTTAGATCTTTCATTCAACAGACCTGCTGGGTATTTGACTAAATTCTTATTGGGAGATAACTCCCATTGTATTTTGGAAAAGGTGCCTGCTTTTCTTTTAAAATTTCAAGTTTAAGGAAGAAAATTGGTAGTGATGAAAAACTAAACATTTTAGATGATTAATTCTACTTGCTCAAATGCTTAGCATTTATCTTATTTGTGCAATGTATTTTATCTGTAGCTCTTTTTCTAAGGGCTTTAGCTATGTAGAAATAAACTTTATTTACTTACAAAATTTAAGGGAGCACTGAGACAACTACCGTTCAGTTTAGTTTTCCAATACTAGCAATGAAAATAATTAAATATCAACACTTAAAAACTTTACTGTATTCAAATACAGGAAATCAAGCATTCCAGTCTTAAGTATCTCAGTACAACATACTATGCATACAAGAGTTTTTAATTAGGACTGCCTTTTTGACTTCAAACTACAGACACAAAGAGGCAAGCACCTGCTCATCTGTTTAAAACATGGATTGGTGGTGTTACCAAATGCCAATATCCAATGACATCCACATGAATGCCCCAAATGGTTATACATACAATTGGGGGCTGTGCAGATAATTCCTTCCTGCCTCCTACTGATCATGCTGAACAGCCCTATGAGCTGTGCCAATCCCTTCACACCCGAGTTTACTCAACAGACTGGGATAGTTAAGTTCACTCTCTCATACAGGAATTGGAATAGAAGATAAAATGTAGAGTTAGAATGTAATTTTCCCTAGAAAGAAACATATATGCATATACAAACTTAACTTTCAAACTTGCTTCTTTACAAACATTAATTCCTTTACTATCTGCAAAATAATAAGGCCAGGTCTAATATATTACTCCTGGGGGTTATAACCAATTTTTATACTGATAGGTAAGCAGAAACTGCCAATATTTTCATTTCAAATACAAGCTTCCCTATTTCTAGCTTCTTTCATACTTTTAACATTTCCAGAAACTGTATATCCCCAGGTAAGTGAAAAGACTTGGAATGAAGCAAGCCATGCTCAACAGACTTACATTTTAAAAGGCACGATAATGTACAGGGTCATATGGCAGAAGCAGCTCCACATTCACCAGAATGCCACTAAAAGCATGAGGAGAGCCTTTCTGTATACAATGTGAACTGTTACTGCACTCCCCTAACAAATTTCTACATCTAATACTAAGAATCTAAGTGAATACCTTTGATATATTCTGCAGCATCCACTTCCAAAGCAAACACCCTGGATTTTATTTAATTTGTGCCTATATTTATATGAAAACTTTTCTGTAATCACTTTATACCATTTCTGACTCACAGAAACTGAGATTCTTGGAACAAAGGTGAAATATTCATTGTGTTTGTTTTATAAAAATCAACCCTTCATGACCCTGGAGCATTTTACTATTTTCTGAATTTGCTTTGGCTCTTTTTTTTTTTAAGGCTTGGTAAATTTACAACTCTAAAGTAGTAGTTAATTATGTCTTTAGATGCAACACAGCCCCCTGTGATTCAACTGCTACAAGCAGCTAGGAAGGTGGCCACAGTGTGAATTTATTCTCCCTGTTCTAACTCTGGAGCCAACTGTAACCATGAGAGTCAGATGAATGTGTAAGCATAAGCCTCTGTCACTTAAAACCCATGTTTGTCCAATATTACTGAAACACTGGGCCAAAACTCATCTCTACGGTAAAGTAATAGAAGATGCCACATGGTGAGGGGACAGCTGTTATGTCTACACAGGCATTCAGATTTTACATCAGAAAAGCTGTGCTTTGGGATTACTGCTCCCCATCAAACACAATACAATAAAAAATGAAAAACCGAATAGAGGCATTTTAACATGAAAATTAAAGCAGATTACTTTTACAGTTATAAATATTCACATCATCTGGTCAGATAGTACTTTAAAGAAATATACCACATCATATTTCAACAGCAGATATCAACTTTTAGTATTAATTGGCTGTGTTAATTGTTATTTAAACATGTGCAGGCTGTCTTGTTATTTTAACATTATTTACAAGAAAAACTATAGCTGACTGTCCCACTATATAACAATCATGTCAGTCACTTGAGTACCATTTTTGGCAGAAAGGAGGGGTAAAAATTAATTCAATGAATAAAGTAGCTAAATAGTATAAGAAACAAGTTAAAACAATTAAAACAATCTCACATAATCAAAAGCAAACAATTCAAAGGCAGCAGATAAAAGCAGGCAAAGGTGCCTGATAGTTTTCAAT